TAAGGAGCCGGTGACACAAAATGCGATCAGGCTTCCGCGCTGGTTATGAGGGAGCTCTGCCTGCGGGGAGAGGCAGGGGCCAGTGGCCGGCCTGCGGGCAGCCATATCCCGGCTGCAGCTGCATGGCAGAGGCACCTGTGGATGGGGTCTTGATTAAGGCTGAGCACTTGGGGGTGAAGGCAAGAGAAAAGGGCATGGTGGTGATTTACCCTATTTTCCGGTGTATAAAATGACTTTTGAAACAAAAAAAAGCCTGCTCAGATTGGCCAGAGTCAGAGAAGCGGTCTATTAAAAAAAGAACTGGTGTTGCCTCAGAAGTCTTATACAGCAAATATAGGCCTAAACCTATGTTTTAACTGTAAAATTAGGGGGGTCGTCTTATACGCCAGAAAATACGGTAGAAAGGAGACATTGAGTGCTGGCTAGTTTGGCTCAGTGGGTAGAGTACCGGCCTGCAGACTGAAGGGTCCCAGGTGCGATTCCAGTCAAGGGCACACACCTCAGTTGCAGGCTCAATCCCCAGTAGGGGCTGTGCAGGAGGCAGCTGATTGATGATGTTCCTCTCTCTCTGATGTTTCTGTCTCTTTATCCCTCTCCCTTCCTCTCTTTCTCTAAAAATCAATAATATATATATATATATATATATATATATATAGATAGATAGATAGATAGATATAGATATATATTGTTGTTGTTGTTTGTTTTTTACTTTTTTTTTTTTAAAGAGAGAGACATTGAGAGACGCACAGAGCAGGGTCAGGGGGAAGGGAGCATGCCATGCTGGTTCCTGACATCTAGGCCACCAGCTTGCTGCCCACGGGGCAGGTGGGCCTGAGGCTCCGGGAGGCGGTGGGCAGCTCCATGCAGCGCAGCGGGCTCTGTGACTAAAGGAAGGGCTGTGGGGCTGACCAAGTGGCAGGATGAAGACAAGCTAATTTATCCTGGAACCTTTGTGTGTCCGTGCCAAGTGCCCCAGACAGGTCTGCTCAAAGGCACCTTCTACCCACGGCGAGAAGAAAGATCGAGTGCTCCCTCAATAACACCACAGAGAAGGCCCTGCTTGCCTCTCGTCCTCGTCTCCTTCCCCTCTTCCTGGCTCCTTTCAATGCCCCCGCCCCCAGCCCTTCCCACCACAGGACCTGGGCCTGAGGGGGCGTCTCCGGCTGGAGTGTCCGGGGATGGAAGCAGAGAGGGAGGTCCCGCCAACTTTTTTTCTTAATCTTCATCTAACGATATTTTTTTTCTTAGAGAGATTGGAAGGGAGGGAGAGAGAGGGACAGAGAAGGAGAGAAACATCTATGTGAGAGAAACACATTGACTGGTTGCCTCCTGCCCATATCCCAAACGAAGCTGGGAATCCAACCTGTAACCAAGGTATCTGCACTTGACTCTTCAGTCCACAGGCTGACCCTCCAACCCCTGAGCACACTGGCCACGGCAGGGCACTCCCAGTTTTTACTTTAAAGGCAAAAACACTAAGTAAGCCCCATTATTAGATTCCATGCCACCTAACCGGGTCAGCTGTTCCCATGTGGTACACACGTTTGCTAAGGCCAGGAGCACACAGGGTGTAAGGGTATCATTGATGTAGAATGATCCAGGCTGAACCCCAACGGCAGATCTGGGTGCAACTACCCATAATACTCTCTGAGCCGGGGAGTGGGAGAGGAGTATGTCTAATGCAGTTGGTTCCTAGGTGTCCAGAGTCCTAGGTGTCCAAAGTCTGTGGACAGTGGTACCTTTCTGAGACCAACAGCCAAGAGACAGAATCTCTGTCCCCTAGGCACCCGATTCTTGGGGAATGAGCTCGGCTTCATCCATAAGGTCTTTGTGCCTAGCTCTTTGGGGTAAACGTGGTACAAACATGCCCATGTGACACTTTGTTTCTCAGAAATGTGAAAAAAAGGTCCTTAAATTTTTTTGGAATATTGAAAGTGTCTGGTAAACTGCCCAGCATACAGGAAGCTCTTAAAATAGTTATTTTCTTTATGAATGATCATTTGCTTGACATATTGCTGGATTTTATTTATTTTGAGAATTAGGGAGAAATGGAATGTTGAGTTTGTGTTGGTTTGTTGTTTCGTTGTTTTTATTTTAGGAAAATGAGGAAGAGATGTGGTAGAGTACTTAGGAATTCAGTTATTATACCTTCAACAACAGGAAACATCTCTCCCTCTCATTGCTATCCTTCTGAGCTCGTCTGCCCACTTGGTTCATGTCCCTTCAGAGGACACATCGGGCTGTGTGTCCAGGGCGAACACTCCCCGGCCAATGCCCCAGGGATCCCCGGGCAGACAGAGATAAATCCAGACCTTTGGTTTCCGTCTTCACTGGCTAAGTGGATCCACAAGGAAAAACAGAGCCATTAATCAAACTTGGCAGGTGTGGGCTTGGTTCCCTGGTCACGTGTGAATGCCCCAGAGCTCGGCGGCGTCTGTGTCCTCTGACTTCCATGGCAGGGCTGCAGTGTCCCCAGGCGGGCAGGTGAAAACGTGTCCTAGGGTTCGCATGAAGGCTGGACCCCAGCAGCAAACCCGCCCAATCACCCTGCCCCCCGATACTGCCCTGTCACCGAGTCTCATACAACCACCTGAGAGGAGCACGATTTTTACCATTTTTCAAGTGACTCAGCCGAGGACCCATGAAGGGAAAGGATTGGTTAGGTCCAGCCTGTGTTGCTCAGTGGTTGAGCATTGACCTAGGAACCAGGAGGTCACAGTTCGATTCCCATTCAGAGCACATGCCCAAATTGCAGGCTCGATCCCCAGTAGGAAGCGTGCAGGAGGCAGCCAATCAATGATTCTCTCTCATCATTGACTTTTCTGTCTCTCTTTCCCTTCCTCTCAGAAATCAATTAAGAAAGAAAATAAAAAAAAAAAAGGACTTGCTGGAAGGTATTGACTGAGCGAGGAGCAGAGTTGGGACTTGAATGCAGAGCCTCAGACTGCGTTAACTCTCCAGAAAACTCTTGGGAAAGGCTGGTGTGTGTGGCATAGGTGGGCGGCTTGACACCTTACCCACAGCATTTTCCCTGGTTTAGCAGGCGGGCTGGCATAGGAGCTCATTAAACACTTACAGGATGAATGAATGAACACATCCTGGGCCTATTAATTATTAAATGAGTTTTGGGTTTCACGTGAAGGCAGGTGGACACAGCCAAACACAGTGAGTCCTGGCATCCATCGATTTAGCGACCCAGCAAGTATCTCCTGGCTCTCCACCATGCTCCAGGCTTGTGCTGGGGCTGGGCCTCGGGCGGTGCCCTGAAGAGGGGGCTCTGGATCCTGGGGTGCTGCCAGTCGGCTGCCAGGGCTCGGTCACCCCCAGCTCCATCCAGCCAGATCATGCCGCCGGTTGGGACAGTTCTCAGCAGTGACCATGTTTGGCTCAGTCACGTGGCCACAGACCAGGGACACAATGATCGCCGGGACAAAATGGGCCGGTACACCTGCCGGGTGAACGGCTGTGCTGATTTCCAATAGGTGATCTCTGTTCTGACATCACTGCCTGGGGAGAGTGGTTAACGCTTCTTAAAGGTGCTTTTCTGTCCCTTCACCTCCAATAAATCCCAGAAACGGTGACCTCAGAGGGAACGAGTGGGCCAGTGCTTTTGCCCAAGGTCAGGCCACTGGCCAGGGATAGAACTGGGACCAGAACCCTGGTTTCCAATCCCCTCTCCTCCCCCGCAGGGCTCTGTGTCGAGCGCACACTGTCTCCGAAGGAACACGCCTGGCCTCCTCCGTGTGGCTGTGTGTCTGCGATGCTGTCTGCCTCTTTCCGTGGGAGAAGAACTCGCGGCTCTGACAGCCGCCATGGGACAGACCCCGAAGGCAGAGCGCCTGCGATAGCCCCGCTTTCTTGATGCACACAGGCCGCTGAGAACACGTGACCCCCACTGAGAACTTGCTGGATGTGAAGTCTGTTAAATCCTTTGAGAACAGCCCTTTGGAACGGACGGCGCTGAGTAGGTCCCATCCTCACAGCAGGAAAGGCCCGGGGGATGGAGACCGGGCCTCACACCGCGGCCTCGTCCTTCCTGGCCGCGGCGTGCGCTGCCTGGGTTGACACAGGAGGGGAGGAAACCGTCTCCCTGTACCTATGGCACCGTTCGTGTAAGTAGGCAATGCGGTGCGATTCCTTTAAACAGGCGCCTTTAGGGCCTTTTCAGCCATCCCCACGTAGTTACTCTTTATTGGAAGCGAGAGTTAGTGACAATGACATTTCAAAGTAGACAGGACCATGTAGAAATTTCATAACAGAGTAAAACGGTACTTTTCCCTGTACACGCATTTCCAAGGTCAAGAACTGAAATTTCTCCTCTCTCCTTTCCTTCCTTCCTTCCTTCCTTCCTTCCTTCCTTCCTTCCTTCCTTCCTTCCTTCCTTCTTTCCTTCCTTCCTTCCTTCCTCCTTTCCATCCTTCCTTCCTTCCTTCCTTTCTTACTTTCTTCCTCCTATCCTTCTTCCCTCCCTCCCTCCCTGTTCTCTGTCAAAACTCGCCCAGCGGCAGGAATCTCCCCAGGTCTTTTGGGAGGAAACCACTTCCTTCTCCTCAGAAGCTCTGACTTTGGCTCAGGTGCGGAGCTAATGCTGCGGGGAGCGGACCCCTGTGAGCATTTGAAAGGCCAGAGGTGCAGGTGTGAGTCTCCCTCCCCCTGTGTGACATCTCCTCCTCCGCGGGGTGTGTGTGTGCATGTGTGTGTGTGTGTGTGTGGGTGTGTGTGTCAGGGAAAGCCTTCCCGCCAGATCTTCCCGCCAGATGGCAGAAGTGGTCTTAAAGGAGTTCGGAAACTATATATTCCAAGCCCTTGCCCCGAACGTGCGGCAGCCACGTTCTGCAGCGGGTCTCAGCTCTGGACTCTGGACGGTGCTTTGGCGTTTCCGCCCTGTGGGCACTTCCCGGTCCCCGGGTTAGCGGCGGCGGGTGATCCTGGGGCAGGGCATTGGGAAGACCTCACAGGCCACGCATTCCAGACGGTGACAACCCACAGAGGCCACTCACCTGCGGCTGCGCCCCAGGCCCTGCGCGCCGCGGCTCCAGGCGACGGTGGCCCTGGGGAAGGCCCGCGGCCGGCACTCGATGGCCACGTCCCCACCGACTTGAACCACGGACGTCTTTTTAACGGGGTTTTTGGAGAAATCAGGAGCTGACGCTGAAAAACAAAATGTTTAGAAACCTGTTGAATCGCTCACATCATTAACCTGCGGAATGCGAGCCCTAGGCAGCGGTCATCAGCCTTTCGGACCAGCAATAACCCGCGGACCCTCGGTTGTCGATGGCTGCTCTCGAGGGACTGTGCTTGGCTCCCTCCCCCTGCAGCCCAGGCCGGCACTGTGTAAATACTCAGTAAAGGAACCAGCCACCGCGAAAAGAAGCAGAGCGACTTGTGGGAAACTCCACCAATCCTGCCCCGCGGCCCCTGGTTGGGATCTGGTGGCTGACGTAAAAGGGATGCTCAGGGACTCTGGATTTCCTCTTCTAAGGAGAGGGAGACACGTCAGCTCCACTGCCTCTCTCATTCGCCTCGAGCAGGGACCTGGTGTTGGTAGCTACAGCAGCCCTCCCAGAACCTGAGGCTGCAGCCTGAGGAACGTGTAAAGAATGGCACCAAGCCCGCCACCCTGGCGTGGCTCAGTGGTTGAGCCTCAACCTTTGCACCAGGAGGTCGCAGTTCGATTCCCAGTCAGGGCATGTGCCTGGGTTGCAAGCTTGATCCCCAGTTGGGGGCTTGCAGGAGGCAGCCAATCAGTGATTCTCTCTCATCATTCATGTTTCTATCTCTCTCTCCCTCTCCCTTCCTCTGGGAAATCAATGCAAATACATTTTTAAAGAAGAATGAGATCACCATGGTGCCAGGCTCGGCCATCACCCCTGACCTTCTCCTGAAGAGAGAAAGGGAACCTCTGCTTGTGAAGTCACTGTACACTGAGATTTCCTTTCCTCTGTTTTATTTTTATTTGCAGCTGAAAGCATTCCTGATGGAACTTTCTGGATTAAATTCAAAACCTCAGCTGGGACCAGCTTTGGAGGAGCCTCTTGGTTGGGTGGGCCCAGGGGCGGCGCCTTCCGGAGCCCTAGCGGGTTCCCCAACCAGAATAAGAATCAGCTGTGTTTTTCAGAAGCTAACTTCGACATGTCCCCATTGTTTCCAGGGAAAAGCAATTTCTGATTCACAGAAGCATTGGGCTTACAGTCTGTCTAATCACGGCTTGCTCAGATCTCATTCCGCATCTCATGGTTATACATGAAGGCCTTACCTAATACTCTCAGCTCCGCATTTGCATAGATTGTCTGGTGTTTGTTTTCGGCAGCACACTGGTAGACCCCGGAGTCAGACACATTAAGCATAGTGATGGTGAGTGTCCCATTTTCTACTTGAATTCTTTCCTAATAAAAAAAGGAGTCATGTAAAGAGGCTGGGACGCTAATGCGGGCATTCTCTTCATCAGAGCCGATTAGGAACCGTCTGCCCAATCGCTGTGCTATGATGCGAACTGATGCTTATGAAGATGAGTCGCATACACAGAGGGACCCTGAAGTTAAAAAATAAAATGAAAATATGCCCGTTGTCATTTGAATGTATTCTGTTACCTCATTCCTGTGGAAATGGGCATTATCTACATAGCGTGCATGTTACATTTCCTTATATAGGGTCTAGTTTGGAACATCGCCATTGCAGTTAGTCCCATTATTGGCTGTATTAGACACGGATATCCGAGTTAGAACAGTTCCTGGCCTTCTCCTCACAAGGCCTCAAAAAGACGTGGGTGGATCACTCGGTAACTTTCTCATACATCATACATAGCGGGGGCTGACTTTCTCTTCCGCAGGCAATTATAAGTGAGCTCATGCAGCCCAGACCCGTTACGGACTGCCATTTGGGGTGCAGAGTTACAGTTTTGAGTGTGCATTATGAAATCATTTAACATCACAACTATACCTCAAAACGAACTATTTCAAGATCCCTAGTACCATCCTCTGAAGAGAAACAAGTCCGCTGAGGAAATAGAGGGTGTTCAGGACGAAAGGCATGCAGGGAAGTCCCACTGAAGCCAGAACAAAGAGCGTCATTATGTTCGGCCTCTAAACAGCAGATGTCTTTTTTTTTTTTTCATGCAAGAAAACGTGCAAAGCAAAAGAGAGAGTTAACACAATTATTTGGATAATTTGCTGCAAAAGAAACAGCTCTGCCTCACTTTCTGTGAATTGTAGAAGAACGTATGTGTGAGATTGGAAAATGCAGAAAAATGGACTTATAGAGTTGTTGTTTTCTGGAAAGCATGATACTGGGTAAGATGAAGACCGTGGGTCCCGGAACCAGGTGGACAAAGTTCAGAAATATCCCAACGTTCCCTAGCTGTTGCATGGCCTTGAATCGAGGCCAAACTTCTCTGAAGCCAATTTTGTTCATCTCTATAAAGAAATATCATTGCGTCTCTCCTAAGACTGGCATGAGGATATAATAAGATACGGAGGGGAACATGTGACAGGGCCTGTCTCAGAGGAGAGTTTGGTCAACATGAGCAATGACGGTGATGGTGACGGTGATGGCGAGGATGGTGGTGGTGCCTAGATGGAAATTTACTGCTGACAGTATGTGACCTCTGCAAGTGATGAGTCTTCTCTCCCCTTAGTCTCCTCAATGGGAAAAATGGGGACATTATTCATAGCCCCTTTGAGTTTAAGGATTAAATGAATTAGTATACCATATTTTCCGGCATATAAGACAACCCCCTAATTTTACAGTTAAAACATAGGTTTAGGCCTATATTCGCTGTATAAGACTACCCCCCACTTCCGAGGCAACACCAGTTCTTTTTTCAATAGACCACCTCTCTGACTCTGGCCAATCTGGGCAGGCTTTTTACTAGAACACAGTGTAGCTTCGGTTACAGAACATGTATAATTTGCATGCATAAAAAGCCTGCTTGGATTGGCCAGAGTCAGAGAGGCGGTCTATTAAAAAAAGAACTGGTGTTGCCTCGGAAGTGGGGGGTTTTCTTATACAGTGAATATAGGCCTAAACCTATGTTTTAACTGTAAAATTAGGGGGTCGTCTTATACACCGGAAAATATGGTATCTGGAGTCTGTTACGTTCCCCAGCACCTACTGCACACTCCCTCAACGTCAGTACTTATCACTGCTTGTGACTCAGTTTCCCCACCAGAGTCGGTGAGTTCTGATGTGGGCACCTTTGCTTACCTCTGCACCCAGGCGCTCACCATTCTTTAACCAGGTGTACCAGGGCCTGGGCTTTCCTCTGGCTTTGCATTCCCAGAACAAGCTGTCATAAATGGACAGGTACGTGTCCTGGATTTTTTGTTCCCATTCCGGAGGGGCTGTTGCAAAGAGAAACAGAGCGACCGTTTCACAAGTCGGCTGATTATTCGAGGCGCCCTGCTCCTTGCCAGTCGGCAGCAATCAAGGCAGCCGGCCAGGTGCGGAAGCCCCGGACATGCTGGGCCTCCGTGGGGGCCACAGAAATCATGCTGCCGCTCTCGGTGGGCCTCTGACAACTTGGGGGTGTAGGAAAGGGTCCAAACGCAGAAGGAGGCCAGATAATAGTGCCAGGCCAAGTATTAGTGCGTGGGTCAGGTTAGAAAATGGAGACCCAATGTGAATCCTTTGTGTGCAAAGACCACCGATTACACTTGTCCTGAATTCACTAAAAGTAAGTGCATCTATATCAGACACAATTAAACACAGTTGCTGGAAGTATAATTCCAATCTGAGCCTCACACACTTTAGTTGGAGGATAACCCTTTCCCTCCCTTGCCTGCCCCTCCTCTCTTCCCCCCCCGCCCCCCGTCCCCCTCTCCCCCTCCACACCCCAGATAAAACTCATGCCAGGATTAAGGACTGTGGAGTGGCTGTGGGTTCTGCACCTGACTTAGTCCTGGGCATGTGTTTTCCAAAAGCTTATCTCTAACTAGAAGATGTTCTACATGGTCAGGAGGGTCATGAGGCAGAGGTCACCTGGGGTCATTGATGTGAACGTGTTATTCAGGGGGAAGGTAGGGTTATCCTGGCTGTCATTCATGGAAACAGGTGGGGCATGAATTAATGTTTTGAAACTAATTTGGTTGTGGTGAGATCCCCGTGAAGGGGCACAGGTGGCCGTGCTGAGGACGGAGGGCAGGGGGAAGGGAAGAGCCTCATTTTGGAAGATTGTTGGCAGTTCTTATCTTATTCCTGACCCATGTGGCCCATGAGAGCTTGCTCAGTTCACCTAAGGCTTCCTATCTGTCATGTCACTGAAAATTATGTCTGCCTCTTATTATTGTGAGGGTTACAGGAGCTTGCGTTTATGAAAACTTCTAAGCTAACAGCCACTGTGTCCAGGTAGGAGGGGTCACTTTACTATTGATTTCCAATTTATAGAGACCTCCTGCTCAACCTCTTGGTTATATCTTTGTCTATTTAACAGAAAAAAATGAGAAAGCTATTAAGAACAAGCTCCTGCTCAGAAGCCTGGTGCCACTCAAAAACTCCCAGTCACGTCCTCATTATCTTGTTTACAAAAGATGCCAGATTCCAGAGACTTCCCTTTAAGACGAAGGAGCTATTGGGAAGAATAAATACAGAAGGGTAAACACACATACATACAGGCGTACAGAATTAATCACGAGGGAATCATGTTCTATATATAAAATGGTAGTTTTCATCCCAGGTTAAAATTGAAATCCGGGAGGAAATGGAAGCTAATCTAGCCAGGCCCATTACCTGGTCCCCACAGGACACTCCAGTGGCATGCCCAGGAGCCGATAGCAATGCTGCTGACATGGCTAGTTACCAAAAATGCATTTTTCTCCAATTACTTTATCGATGATTAGTAACAGGTCATCTACAAACATGTCATAGAGAGAGGCATTTTGGGCCATGTGCAAATAGAGTTTCCAAAAGTTTTCTAGTATAGAATTATTAAATTAAAGATATATTAAATGTAATCCAGAAGGTGAGAGTATTTGAAAAGCACCCAACATTTTGATAATTCCGGGGCCTATTTTATAGTTTAGTTGATGAAAAAAATAAGTGACTTCAATGCAAATGTTGTATCTTGGCCGGATGGGAGAAACAGAGACAGCCTTTAGGGAATTCGTGCGTTTATCATCTCTCTTACGTGCCCGAGAGATTCTGGCAACCAAGGCAAACCTATTTTTCAATGAAGTCGTGACTGTGGTTTTCTATTACCTACACATGGGCAGGCAAAATCTGGGAAACAGAAATGGATATTGACAACCACACTCAGCATTATGCTCCTGTGGCTTTCTCCTCCTGTAATTAAGGACGTCACAGGCTACCTCGGACTGTCCTCCAGGAAGTAAGTGGATCCCATGGAGCTTCCGGTTATCAAGGACTGTGGCCTCCACAGGACTCGGCTGATCTTGCCTGGCAATTAGACTAATCCACGGCCTGCACAGACCACGCTGAGACTCGCCCCTGCATCCCAACCCGGACCCGTGGCTTTCCCGCCTGTCCCAGGACATGTCTCCACAGCGTGCTCGTGACTGCCACGCTGCACTTCACAGGACGGCTCCACATGCCCGCATGCAGGTGCCACGCCGGGAGCTCACCGTAGAAAACGAGCCGGCCCTTCGCCAGGTTCCTCCCGCGCAGGTTGCCTGCAGTGCATTCGTAGAAGCCTTCGTCTTCCTGTTGAAAGTTCGGGATTTCAAGGGTAGCCTGGGATTTGCTGTACTTGACTTTCCCTGGCAACGGGCTTCCGTCCAACCTCCTCCAACTAATATCGGGGACTGGACTGAACAGTTACACCTCGTTAGAACAGGATCCGGCTCGGTCTTGTGACAACAGGGTAAAATGGGAGGGTCCTTAACATGAACTCTCAGGGAAACCATCCATGAATCCCCCCTGGAGGCTCACATGCCGGTCATGGGACCACTTGCACTCACTTGGTCAACGCTTGTAACAACACCTCATTAAGGGCCTGCCACGCGCAGTCATGGCGCTCTGACCAGAGAATGAATTGCTGAACAGAATAAACATGTGCTCTGGCCTCACACTGCTGACAGGTTAGTGGAGTGGTGTGCCATACACAAATAATAAAAAAATGAATCTATTTGTAAATTGTAAGAATGTAAACAGAGGGAATAGGCTGCAGAGATGGCCCTGAGATGGTATCAATTTACAGACACTCAGGAAATTCCCCAAAGGACATGGCATCTCGGAGGAGGCAAGCGCTGTCTGTATTTGCGGATTCTAAAAAAGAGGGAGATTCCTCTAAAGCTAAATTGGTCCCAGCAGGCAACTGAGGACGTAGGTGATGGGTGAGCTAGATTACCAAGGGGACTGGTATTGTGATAGACCCACGTGAATTGGGAGAGCACGCTCCGTGAGCCTTAAAAAGTACTCCTCACCCTCTTTTACCAAGTCCAAAACAGCAGTAATCTCTGAATGACTGCACGGTACCCTGTCTTCCTGTTAGAATGTGCAAAGAGTTCCTTTATTTATAGGAATGTAGCTTTAATATCATGGATCTGATATCTTCAGTATAACATGACTATACTTTTAATATGTAAATTTAATGTCTGACAATGAAGAGTGAATTTAGAAGTCTGTGGCTTAGAAGACCCCACTTTTACTTGTTTAATATAAAGTCAAAAGAGGACCACATTCTCTGACAAACTATAATAATAAAAGGGTAATATGCTAATTAGACCGGACATCCTTTCTGATGTCCTTCCAGGCGAAGGCAGGGCTGTGAGGGAAGCCCGGGACCTGGGTGTCAGAGGGAAGCTGGTGCCAGCAGCCAGGGCAAGGAAGGCCTCTTCTTACATGAATTTCGTGCATCGGGCCTCTAGTCATTTATAAAACCAATCCCCATCCATGTACATTAACATCTCTCCCTTCCTCCAAGCATGCCCCTCTTCATTCCCTTTGAGATTGCCAGGTGATCTACATATCTATATTTGAGATGTTGTGAGTTAATAATAATATAATTATTTTGCAAAGCCCAAGTGTCAACTTTGTAGAAGAAGCAGGATTTTTCTCAAGTTGACAAAAGTGACTTTTGGAAAAATGGTGGCAAGAATCTGTGGAGTTGGAATGGTGAGCCCACGGCCAAAAGTGGGTGCTGATGACCGGGGGCCCCCGAGAAAGCAAGGACCTGCCGCAGATGCTGTCAGTGTACAAAGTCATACAGGGGTTCAGGTATTGTCAGAAAACCTAGCCCGAGTCCATGTTTGAATTCATCTATTGTTTCAGAATTACCAGATAATTACAAACCTTGAATTGTAACACAAAACAAAATCACTATTATCATACATTTAGTTTCTGCCTTTTTGAAAAGCCTTGCCCACTTAGCATAAAATGAGGTTGACATTTTAGTAAAATGGCATACTCCTGCCACAATTAACCTCAGATAACTGGTTTTCTGTCCACTCACTGGACGGAATACCAAACTGGCACACAGGAAAATGGATTTCTGCAGAATTTGTTCACACAGAAGCCTCGTCCCCAAGTCTGAACTCCATGCTAGACGCAGAGCTGTCCAGTTTTTCAACACACATCATGCGTCTGTGAACATGTGAGAAGTCATTACCCCTGCGTTGGGAGGCCTTGGATATTTCTCATTCTCCACTTTCTGTTTACCTCCATTTTCCATTATTTTCCTCCAGTGAACATGCATTATCCACGTAATAGAAACATTCTAAGAATGTTTACTTGCAAAGGGAAATAACAGAGGCTGTGATATTTGTGTGAATGGCTGGCCTTTGATCTCTTTGTCTATGACATATCCCTGAGGTCTATGACAAAGATGAGCACAGTATCCAACTAGAAATGGTTGTGATCACTGGCAGTCAGACAAAAAGTAATTTCAGGAAAGAGTACGTTCCATGCTTATATCATAGTCCATTAGTTTGACTGAGAAGACAGAGCTCAACTTTTCACCTAACTAAATATCTAAATCTCTGAGCCAGTAACGGAAGGGTTTGATATTTAATGATAATGATTATAACACTGTCACAACCAATAGCTACTGGTGACTAGAACAGTGTGTTAGGTACTAGGTACGTGGATGACCCGTAGATATAATTTCACTGGCTCTCCCTGTAACTGAAGGCAGTGGAGCTGGGGTTTGTGTCCCGGCTTCTTTGCCTCACCACCACCCCTAAAGCTATGGTAAGACCCTCCTCTGGTAGCTCTGGCATTTATGGATTCACAGAATGTGAGTCTCCATGTTGCGTGGGGGCAAAAAGAACAAGTCCTACCAACCTCAGCTATTCTGACTTCCCTCTGCCGCAAGGAACTCAGTGACGCCACCAAAGTCTCCCTGGGTGAGCATCGCTGCCTGGATGGATGAAGTGCCTGTCCTTTAGAGCAGGGGTGGGGAACGTCCGGCCCGCGGGCCACAGGAGGCCTGAAAAATCATTGGGTCTGTCCCTGCCAAGGCATGAGGGATGAGTAGAATAAATGTTTGACCTCATACAGCAGGTTCATTTTTAGGTTGATCATTTTGTATGGCCCACGAATGATGTCATAAATATCCAAAAGGCCCTTGGCAGAAAAAAGTGTTCCCCACCCCTTGCTCCATAGGGACCCCATTCCAAGGGGAACAGTGCAGGAGGGAATGTCAGTGCCCCTTCAAGTCCCTGAGCCTCCCAGGTCCCAATGGCTTCCATCCTCAAGGTGAGCACCCACCCCCCTTCCTGACAACCCCCTTCCAGCTGCCCGAACTGACAGAGCACGTGACTCAGGTCCTGCATCAGGGACTTGTGCACGGTGGCCACTGTCACTGGTCCACAGGGAGCCACGGCCACCCAATCAAAGGCGCCAGACATGGTTCTGGGACGGCTTTCGGAAGAGCAAACCTTTTTTCATAGGAATTTGTTCAGACTGTGGGATATGAACATGGAGCTTTTCCCCACATGGAGAGAGGATCCGTGAAGGCCAAAGCTCAGGCAAAGGGAAAGGAATAACGTAGAATTCTTCACATGCATCAATCAAGCCATGCCCTGTCCAAAAATCTCCCTCGGAGCGTTTCAGTTTGTCAGTGGTTCTCTTTTTGGCCTCAGCCTGTTTGAGTTATACTCCTGCTGATTTCTGTCAACGAGGACTTGATGGGTAGATTTTGAACACCTGGGTCCTACACCTGCCTGGCTCATGTTTGTCTGTGAGATTGAACTACAAGATTTGGTGTATTCCTTCTGGATATCCCGTTTTATAGTTGAGATAGTTGGGAATTCTCACAGCAGCTCCACTAGGCAAAAGTAATCACTCAAACAGTAAAAACAAAAAAAAAAAAAAACAAAAAAAAAACACTTTTTTTTTCTTTTCAATTTAAGCCTTATCAAGTACATACTGTGGCCACATTTCACGTTCACTAGTTTCTAGTGGGGAAAAAAAATCAAGCAGTTTTGTAAGATCCATAGATACTAGTTAAATGGTGAGAATGTGGTCAGATTTGTTATGACACTGCTAAGCAAGGAGGCTGAGATTCTGTTATTACTGGTAATGGGACTATATATAGAGTCAGAGAGAATAATGCAAATCAGAGGCAACTTAAACACACATATGTATTCTAAGGACAAGTCCCCATTTTGGGGAGAATCCCATGAAGACACCAAATAAACTGCTTAGATTTCACCCTCTCTCTTTTCTGAAGCCACGTGAAAAATGCACCCAGCAGTGGAGAGCCCTGAGGGGCTTTCAAGAGAGGGATTACTGTGAAAGCCATCCTATCTAATAGAGAGAATATGAAAATTGACCATCACACCATCACAAAGATGGCGGCACCCACAGCAAAGGCCAAGTTCCCTTAACTAGCCTTAAGGAGCAAAATCAGCAGGGACCTGAGGTTGTGTGGTGCTGAGCCAGGGCAGGGGACCTGAGCCTGAGCCCCCTGCCTGTTGGGCCTTGACAGGGGACCTCAGGCCACACCCCCTATCCTGGCATCAGGCCAGGGACCTCAGGCTGCACCCTCTGCCCTGGCACCAGGCTAGGGACCTCAGGCTGTGTCCCCAACCCAGCAGGGCTTGATGGGAGACCTCAGGCTGTGTTTTCCCGCGTGGCAGAGAATGACAGGGGACCTCAGGCCACGCCCCCGCCCCAGTGATGGGTTAGGGGACTTCAGGCCACGCCCCCACCCCAGTGGCTTGACTGGGGACCTGAGGCTGCACCGCCTGCACAGCACTGGGCCAGAGGACCTGAGGCTGCCGTGTGCCCCAGACTCTGACAGGAGGAAGATTTTCATATACATTTTACTAATTTTTTTTCATCTCTGACACTTCTATTATAGAGAAAGGGCAAATAGCAATATCAAAATATTTCCTTTAATTAATCCCCTTTTAATTGCACTGGGCCACTAGTTAGAAGGTAACTCATAATAAATGGTGCTCTCATCCTAACTATAGACATCTGCAATTTCTGCCTACATCTCCCTTTCAGCTACAGCCTTCCCCACCCTCCCCCCCCCCCCCCCCTTATTATTATCTTCACAAATATGAGGTAGAAGTTGAGCTTGGATTCAAACCTCAGCAAAGAAAACCAATCTGAAGCAAGTCTCTCATGCGGAGTCTCTCAGCCCTGAGCTGAGCCCCTCACGGACCTTGGATGAAAAAGGGAGGGTTGCCAAAGCCTTTTCTCATTTCCTCCCTATTTTCTAAACCAAGTCGGCCTGAACCGAGACTCCTCACAGTTGTGAAAATGGACAGATTATAAAAGCAAAGTCCTCCAATCATTTCTTCCTTCTCCTTCCTTCCTTTCTCCCTCCTTCTTTCCCTCTCTCCCTCCCTCCCTCCT